TTTGAAAATATTTACATGTATATATTTATATTCATATAATTGATATTATATATAAATATATTTAATATATTTAAACATATAAACATAACATATTTTTCTTAAATATATACCTGCATGTGTGTGTATTTACATATACATAATAAATATACACAGCACACACACATATATTATGTACCTGTACACAAAAACTAATTGTTGCCCAGCACTAGGTTAAATTGATAATAAATACAATCAGCTGAACTTTAGAGTGTTTTAGACCCACTTAAGTAGGACTCAAGTACATCTTTACAGTATATGTAATTCCATAATTCCTTCTATTGTCTTTGAAATATTTTCAAAGTACTGCTGAATGTACTGACATTTATTATAGCCTAAAATATACTTTAATGTCATTTCTAGTGAAACATGAATGTGTGTTTCAATAGAATTTAAATATTTTTACATTTAAATACATTATATTTAATTTTATTTATTATTAAATACTATAAATATTATATTGTGTAATAAGTTATGAATTTAGAACATAACATAAGATTTCAGAACATTCAGAATACATTGACTGTAGTACATTTAAAATATATTAAATATAATATTGAATAACGTGCAACAGATAAAATGATAATCAAGTTCTTTACATGTGCTTTTGTATGTTAGTCAATACTTCAAAATAAGTGCACTTCTTTAAAACACGACAAAAGGTATAATAATGATTTAAAATGCAAACTTTTGATCTGACATTATTGCCACTTTTTAAAAGTGCACTTAAGTGTGTTACGAAACAGTCATGCGTGTCTCTCTTTAAGTCACTTAAGTGGCCTTTTATTTCATTAATAGTATATTATCTGCAAGTACAGGTTTTTAAAAATACACTTTTAAGATTTGAAGTACACTACAAGTGCATAATCATAATCGCATTGTATTTATCATTACATTATGTAAATATGACCCCTTCACTGTATGTGTGTGTTTGACTCACTCTTTTCACACAGAGCTCCAGTGAATCCATCCGGACAAACACAATCAAACGAGTTCAGATGAGCGGCCGTCGCACAAATGCCGCCGTTCAAACACGGGTTCTGCCGACAGAGACTCGACCCGCGACGCGGAGGAAGAAGCCCTGAACAGAGGAGGAGATAAATACAGCAAAACTCGCTTATCATCATGACTGGAGAGCTGATTCATTGTGCAGCTGAGTTCAGAGGCACTATCTGTTTTACAATCATAAACAAATGCAGTCCACATCACTCCCAGTCCCGATTACTGAACTTCCACATTTAAAAGTGCGTGTAAATACAGTACAGAAGCATTCAAACTTGCAGAGCACATTCTGGACCGAGTGCATTGAATTAATTTGATAATTAAGTAAAAAAAAAAAAATGAAGTCTCATATATGAAACCAAACAAGCCACTAATGACCTTTCAAAAACCCAGAGCATGACACCGCTGTTCGTAAGCATCTACACACGCAGTGTGTTTGAACCAGAGCACAAACTCTGTACATCTGCTGTTATAAACAGGGAGGTCTGGTGGAGCGCTTCTTACAAACAAAGCGTGTCATTTGTGCATGAACATAAACAGCTCCCTCTGAAAGTCAAACATCCTGGTAAACCCACACTTCCTGCCATAAATCCATCCACGAGCGAAACATGTGCTCTTGACCACAGTCATGATACTTTTAATGACTTTGCTGGCGATGTTATAAACAGGGAGGTCTGGTGAAGCGCTTCTTACAAACAAAGCGTGTAATTTGTGCATGAACATAAACAGCTCCCTCTGAAAGTCAAACATCCTGGTAAACCCACACTTCCTGCCATAAATCCATCCACGAGCGAAACATGTGCTCTTGACCACAGTCATGATACTTTTAATGACTTTGCTGGCGATGTAAAATGAAGCAGTAAGGTGAATAATACAATGATTTGAATAAAAAGTTTCTTTAGCAGCCGTTAAAAGTAGTTTTGTGTTTAATTTTAAAACTGTTTAAGTTTAGTTACGTTTAAAACTGTTTAGTTCACTTCCATGCAGTGTTGTTTTTGTTAAGTAAAATGGTCAAACATTGTTAAATATATTTTATTTTAGATTTAGGTTTTAAGTTATTTAAGTTTCAACTAAAATGAGTTTAAGTTGAAGTACTAAGATTACTAAAGCTTTCTAAAAATGAAATGTAAATTAAAATAAAAACAAAATTAGATATAAATATATAAATGCATTGATCAAAATTCGTGCTGTCAAATGATTAATCGCGATTAGTCGCATACAAAATAAAAGTTTTTGTTTATATAGTATATATGTGTGTACTGTGTAAAGTTATTATGTATATATAAATACACACACATACAGTATATATTTCAAAAATATTTACATGTATATATTTATATTCATCTAATTTATATTTATATTATATTTATATAAATATATTTAATATATAAACATAACATATTTTTCTTAAATATATACATGCATATATTTTGAAAATATTTACATGAATTTACACGTATATATTTATATTCATCTAATTTATATTATATATAAATATATTTAAAATATAAACGTAACATATTTTTTAAATATTTACATGTGTGTGTAAATACGTGTGTGTATTTATATATACATAATAAATATACATAGTACACACACATATATTATGTAAACAAAAACTTTTATTTTGGATGCGATTAATCACGATTAATCGTTTGACAGCACTAATAACAATACATATAAAAATACAAACCAATTCTAAATATGAATAAATAATTTTATAGTATACATTGTAAATAACATATTTCTGCGAATCGATTCATATTATTTTATATATTATTTACTCAAATATATTATACCTCCAATGTAACAATTCATTTGCATCAGCACTCAAAAATGTTTATGGAAGCCTCTGCATTTTTTGTATATTTTTAGTATATTAAAATGCATTTAGAGATATCCGTTGGCAAATATTTCTGTTTATTACTATTTATTGCTAAATGCATATGAATAACTGTGTTCATTAAACTATAACATGTCATGGTTGTTTTAAAACTAGAATTTACTGTGCTTCATTTTATTAAACATTCTACACATTTTGAATCTAATTGGAAATAATGACTGTATGGTTTCTCTGAAAGGTAAAAAAAACGAGAGCAAATACTAGAGACGAGATATCTAATGCAAGCTCTAACTTTACAGAAGAACATATGCCGACTTAATAGTTTTAATAGGATGAAAGGACAATTTCTTACCATTAAAGAGTCGTGCTTGTGAACTGCAGAATCCCCACTTCTGGTCGCGGTCAAAGTTATGTGTGAGAGAGCACCTATAACACAAGACCAGCCCCAAACACAATGAGCCTGACACACATCCGAAACACTCCAGACCCGAGAAAACACCAAACAGACTAAAAAAAGGGTCACAAACAACAAAGTGAACTGATTGCACGAAATTCCCTTATTCTTGACACAAACAAAACTATAAAAATATAAAAGGTAAAAGCAGATATGACTACAATAAATACCAGTTCACTTGCCATGAGTGAAACACAAAACTATTTACCAGCTTATGAAACAGAAGTGTTGTATTGTAATTGTAAGCTTTTGTAAGAATGCAATTGTATTTGATGTGCACTTGTAGTCTACTTCAGATCTTACAAATAGGCTGTTTTTTTTTTTTTTTAACTGTACTAGATAATATAATATTAATGAAATAAAATGTCACTTAAGTGACTTAAAGAGAGACACTCATGACTGTTTCTAAACGCAATTAAGTATACTTTTAAACAGTGACCTTTGTAACAATGTCAAATTAAAAGTTTCTTTAAAGTACATTTTAAATCATTATTTCAATAATATTTTGTCGTGTTTTAAAGTAGTGCACTTATTCTGATGTGTTGACTAACATACTAAAGCACATGTAAAAGAACTGGATTGTCATTTTAACTGTAATGTTATGCAATACTGCATTTAAAGTTAATATATTTTAAAAGTACTAAATTGCAAATTAAAAGCATATATATTTTTTTAATACATGACATGCTGTAGCCTACAAGTTTAATAAAAAATGTCATTAAAGAATATTTTAGTTCAACCATATAGAAGTAATTGTGCAATTACATATAAAGATGTACTTAAGTCCTACTTAAGTGGATAAAAAAAAAACACTCTAAAGTTCAGCTAAATGCATTTAAAACTATTATACATGTTCATTAAGGGCAATTGACCGTTTGCAAAGACCCGCCCACCCTTAGTTACTGTTGCTAAATATTATGTTACAAATTACTGTTGCTTAATATATTTTAAACGTACTTAATTGCAAATTAAAAGCATATTTTTAAATGCATGACATGCTGTAGCCTACAAGTTTAATAAAAATGACATTAAAGTATATTTTAGTTCAACCATATAGAAGTAATTGTGCAATTACATATAAAGATGTACTTAAGTCCTACTTAAGTGGATTAAAAAAACACTCTAAAGTTCAGCTAAATGCATTTAAAACTATTATACATGTTCATTAAGGGCAATTGACCGTTTGCAAAGACCCGCCCATCCTTAGTTACTGTTGCTAAATATTCTGTTACAAATTACTGTTGCTTAATATATTTTAAACGTACTTAATTGCAAATTAAAAGCATATATTTAAATACATGACATGCTGTAGCCTACAAGTTTAATAAAAAATGACATTAAAGTATATTCTAGTTCAACCATATAGAAGTAACTGTGCAATTACATATAAATATGTACTTAAGTCCTACTTAAGTGGATTAAAAAAACACTCTAAAGTTCAGCTAAATGCATTTAAAACTATTATACATTTTGCAATTGACCGTTCGCAAAGACCCGCCCACCCTTAGTTACTGTTGCTATCTCCGACAAACAATGCGGCTCTCACGCTACACATCATGTTCTTCTCACGCAGTGAAAAATACATCGCAGAGCAAACTGACAATGTGCCGACAGAAAAGACAACAAAGAAGGTACTGTATCAGGACTCTCAGCTTTCAAATTTTGTCATTTCTAAAGAAATTCAAACAATAAATATCGTTTTGTGGCTCTTTAATGACAGATCGCTGTAGCGCCTCAGTTCAGGGTTGGGGTGGATGTAGATGTTAATAAAACACAATCTAATCCACCTTTTTCTGAACATGGAAGTCTCGCCCGACTAGAACGGCGCTTTACATTTCCGGTCTCTGGTGTTTCTAGTCACATTTACATATTTTCAGAGCCGACAATATAATGTGAAACCTATGAAAATGGTTTAAAAAAGCACATGACACCATAGTTTCATCATTTTACAGTTTCGCAATGAACGTCTTTGTGCAATAAAGGACTTGTCATAGTTTGATGAGTGGGAAGATGACATGAAACGACACGATTGGCTGCATTGAAAACAGATGAGCGCACATGTGCATATAAAGCTCCCGATCGGGGCGAAGTTCACAGGATTTTGTCCACAGAATGATAAGAGCACACATTATTTTAACATTATTTTATAATTTCACACTCAGTATTTTAACTTCAGTGCCGCAAGCCATGCATACAGCGCCGGACATTACATATGTTCTGGTATGCAAAACAAGTACACTCTAAAAAATGCTGGGTTGTTTCAACCCAACTTTGGGTCAAATATGGACTAACCCAACTGTTGG